ATTCTAAGATAAAAACCTCAATAGCTTTACTACAATTTAGCCCCCTTCTGTTTAGTTTTTGGTTTGTTTGGTGTTCCCATAATCATGCTTTTATTAATTTTTGTTTGGGATGCGCCTTAGTTATTACCTTTTAGAATATCCATGATGCTTACAGACAAAAAAACAGAAATTTGTATATTTTTTGTCTTACTTTACCTTACATATATTAAAAAAATCATTTTGCAAATTGTAGATTTGCTTTTAAGAACGGATTAAAGGAAAGCATTGGTTAAGAGTTTGCTCTTAAAGACTGTATGATTATTGAAGAAGAAATACTGATCGATCTAAAGTTTTTAAACTTCATTCATTGATTTATTTTCTCTTTGAAAATAACTATTATTGTGAATATCAAAAAGGAGACATATCTAATCTAATTAAAATCAATGCGATTCTTTTCTTTCAGGTATCATGATAGTAAAATGGTGAATTATGATTCACAAGGCGGATTCCTTGTGACATCGATTGTGCAAAATAACCTGCAAGGTGGTCCGATCTTTAGGAGCTCCCCAGCGAACAAATCGCGCGTTACCATGCCAATGGAGTCCAGCCACGGCGTCCTTAACAACATCCTTGGAAGCCCAGATAACATCAAAGCAGCCAATGCGCCATCCTCAACTCCCTATATGCAACCACATCAATCCGCTTATCTTTCGAATCCTTCAGTAAGTGTGCTCACCGTGAAACAAGTCAATTTTCGGCATGCTGGCAACTACACATGCGCTCCATCAAACGCCCGTCCTGCTAGCATTACAGTGCATGTTTTAAGAGGTGAGAGCTACCCATAATATTTCAAGATTTTAAATACATATTTTATCTTGCTTAATAGGTGAGAAAACGGCGGCAATGCAACACGCCAATCGTAGTATTTTGGATACCGAAAACAACGGAAACGGCACTTTTGGATTAATCTCTTTGGGTGGACTGAACGGAACCTCTGGCGTAACTCTCACCGGAGGTCTTTTGTACTTCTCTGGCATGTTCCTGCTAATATCGGCGGTAGTATTAGATCGATTCTCTTTAGCAGGATCTCACAAGGTATTCTTAGCATTTATACTAGTCCTTTTGCATAGCTGAAACTTATAATTGACGGTTTTTGGAATGGAGCAACTTCAATCATTCGAAAAAGTAAAAATGATATTTGTTTTAAAATAGAAAATGTAAATAGATCATTGACATACCATATTGATAATGCGTAAGCATTGTAAGACATTTACGTACTCTAAGATTAAACTGTAAATAGACTTCCATAACATGCAATGTATTGAATTGAGAAATTCATGAACTTGTTACCACAAACTTATAAAATGCATACTTATGCCATAAGTCATAAGAGATTAAAATCTGCATTTTTTGATGGTTAAAAGTGGTACGATAAAATGTATGCTTAGATGTTCATATTTATTGACTGGTACTGACATTTTAATGTTACAAACAATGGAATTAGCATAAAATAACGATAAAGCCATAAAGATTTGTTACCTAATAACTCGAAAAATTTGATCGTCACCTTTAAACTGTTATTCTGCTCAGTGTTCGATATTTAGTATATAGATTGATTTATGTAAGCACCTTTAGAAGTATGCTAATTCATATACTGTATGTACAACTGTAAATAAATATTACTTTCGTGAGCGTTTACAAAGGCGCTGTCTTGTCCAATTGGGCAGAAGTGCCAGTCTCGTTTTGTTTACCTTGAAATATGGGTTGCAAGACAACTTTTAAATTTTGTTGCAGACATAAAAAGGTTTTAAATAAACAGATCAATTTTAAGAAACTATACATGCCTAATTATTTTATTAATTTGAACTGTTTTTGTATATAAAATTCAGTTTTAAATGGGAAGAATTTAGTTGGTGAACGTTAATAATTTAAGTTCATTTGAGAAAGCTAATTAATCGGGGACCGAAGGAATCGTAGGGCGCCCGCTCAGCGAAAGTTTCTTATGTGCATTATGTGCACATTAGGTAAGTAATTCCTATGGCTGACGATCGCATTATCCATTACCTATTTTTACGTATCTATGTTTGTTCCATGTTCCAACACTTTTTTTTTTATATTGTTTAAATATAATTTCAAGAATTCATCGTATTTCAAAATTCTTTTTATTATATTTATTATATTTATTATATTATAAGTTCTGCCAGTAACCGTATGGGAGTAGTGAACGTGAATTAATTTAAAGTATTTGAAATTAAAAAATATTATCTTTTATTAAAATTCAGGAGTCCAACCCCTTTTGGCGTCTCTTCGTTAATTCAAGGTACAAAACCATTATTTGTATTTTAAAAGACATTTTATAGTTGTTAAAAATGTTTAAAAAAAAGAATTTAAAATTGTACCTTTTATTAAATGAAATAAATATCATTTGGAAGTAGTGGTTTTAACAATAAAACCTCTTTGAGTCGAATATTTTAAGTTTTTGGTTTTTTTAACCTGGACTACGATTTTTTTGTTCCCTTTATTAAAACCTCTTTGAATTGGGACGTCCATTTTGGTTTTCCTTACTTAAAATTTAAACGCAACTGTTTTTTTTTCAAAGTTCCTTGCGGTGTTATCTTTACTCTTCCATTTATTTGACAAAACTTATCGATAAGTTAAGCGATTCTACATCACCGCAGTACCTTCACTAGAAAATGATAGCAAAACAAAAAAGATGAAATCCGAAATTTTGGCAGCCGCCTTTTTGGGTTTGGCGGTTAGGTCGATAATCTCGCTGTATCCTTACTCCGGACTTGATTCCCCGCCGATGCATGGCGACTACGAGGCCCAGCGCCACTGGCAGGAAGTCACCGTGAACCTGGAGGTCGGCGAGTGGTACACAAACAGCTCCGACAACGATTTGCTGTACTGGGGCCTGGACTATCCGCCTCTGACTGCTTACCACAGCTATTTGGTGGGTCGGGTGGCCAAGTCAATAGATCCCCGCTTCGTTGAGCTGCACCAGAGCAGGGGATTCCAGTCGAAGGAGCACAAACGCTTTATGCGCGCAACAGTTGTGACTGCTGACGTCCTCATCTATTTGCCGGCAATATTGTTTTTGGTCTATTGCATAGACAAAACCTTCAAAAGCGATGACAAGCTGTTCCTGTTCACGCTGACTGTTGCCTATCCAGGCCAAATACTCATTGACAATGGACACTTCCAGTACAATAACATATCACTTGGGTTTGCAGCCGTGGCAGTTGCAGCTATCCTGCGAAGAAGGTTCTACGTGGCATCGTTTTTCTTCGCATTAGCCTTGAACTATAAGCAAATGGAGTTGTACCACAGCCTGCCGTTCTTTGCATTCCTTCTGGGAGAATGTGTGTCTCAAAAAAGGTGGGAGGATTACTAATATACATTCTTATTGAACTATGTAAATGACATCTCTATACCTATCGAGTTAAAGTCTCTATAAAACAATTGCACTGTTTCCTAAAATCTGCACGCTCTATATGAGTTGATCTACTTTTTAAAACATAATTCAAAAAGCCACTCAACTCTACTCACGCCAAATTTAAACGCAAGTAGTGTATTAATATCTCAACATTAAATAATCACCTAAATGTATCTTCTCTATAACTACAGGTTTGCATCTTTTGTCGCTAAAATTTCACGGATAGCAGCCATCGTCCTAATTACGTTTGCAATTTTGTGGCTTCCCTGGCTGAAGTCTCTTCAAGCGGCGCTTCAAGTATTGCACCGCCTTTTTCCGGTCGCCCGGGGAGTTTTTGAGGACAAGGTGGCGAACATTTGGTGCGCCGTAAACGTGATTTGGAAATTGAAGTAGGCGAGGTCTCATAAAATATGATTTTCGGTAATTATTAAAGTTATAAATTACAGGAAACATTTACTTAACGATCAAATGGCCCTCGTGTGCATTGGATGCACTCTACTTGCTGCCCTGCCCACAAATGTACTCCTCTTTCGACGGCGAACTAAAGTCGCTTTTTTACTGGCTCTCTTCAATACATCCCTAGCTTTCTTTTTGTTTTCATTTCAAGTAAGAACTTTGAATTTAACATTTAAAATGCATCTAATAAATAATTATTTTTTAGGTCCACGAAAAGACAATATTACTGGCCGCCTTACCATCCCTTTTCTTACTTAAATGGTGGCCCTACGAAATGGTTCTTTTTCTGGAGGTTTCCGTGTTTAGTATGTTGCCTCTTCTATCAAGAGATGAATTGTTGGTGCCTGCAGTTGTATCAACTTTTACTTTTCATTTGTTATTCAAATGTTTTTATTTAAATGGAAAGCAAAGCGACGAATTCCCAGTGAGGTACCTTGCAAATATATCAAGCATTCTAATGACTTTGATTGTGGGAGCTTCTCTAACAATCCCAGCCCCGTCACGCTTTCCTGATCTGTGGCCCTTAGTTGTTTCTGTTATAAGTTGCGGCCATTTTGTGTTATTTTTCTTATGGGGAAATTTTCAACAATTTACCTGCAAAATAAGTTAGCACTTAAAGCAAATATCCTGTAAAAATACATGCAGCATAAACCAAAAAAATGTATCTAAGTTGTTTCATTTAGCTTGTTTTTCTTTTAAGCGTTTAAATTAAAACGGAATTAAAAGTAAATATAAGTAAATTATGCCTTCACTTAGTCACATCCAATATACTTATACCGCTTTTTTTATATCTTATCAGGGTTTAATCAATGGGTTCCTACACTATGCAAAATGAGTAAAATTAAGCTTTAGACTGCTCCGATTGGATTATTTAAAAGTAAGAATATTTTCTTATAAAATGATTTCACAACATAAAGTATTTTTTTAGGTTCTAGAATCTATAATTGCTAGTTTTATTTAAATGTGAATCAAAGAAAGCAGAATGCGATAGCATTTTACCGGTAACTCAAATAGAGAACTAACCCATAAGAGAGACGCTTTTGTTGGATAGTGTTATCAATGCCTTGGATGAGATAAGATAAAAAATCGGAAAATATTAGGTGAATAATGCGTTGGGGTTTGTGCACTTGTTAGTCATGTTCATTTAATCGATCGGCGAACAAGCCTAAAATTTGGTCGTTGCCGGAAAAATTTTAGCAATTATGAATCGAACAAAATCAGTTATTTTAGTTGTAGCGATTTTTTGCATCGTTGTGAGCCAAGTAAATTGCCAGTCGAATGACGATACTACAACAAAACCAGAAAAGCCAAAGGTATACACAAAATATTCCGTATGGATCTCGGTTTAATAGCCTTTAAGGGGCTTACAAAAATGTGACATTTGTTATAATACTGAATGAATCATACGTGGAAATAATAAGAATATGAAAAACATGTGTCATTTGTGTGAGACTGCCATATCAGAAATGCAAGTGTAATGTTATGATAAGATTATCGGCAGAAGTGAAACATTTCGACTAATTCTACCGTAGTGCTACTCAGCAAACTTATAAAAAATACTTTTAAGTGGTTTAAATTAAAAAGTATTCATTATTTTAAACAGAAACCTATTAAATTCCACCTGTACGGACAGGAAATAACTTAAAATATTTGGCAAGACAGATAACATAAACATGACGAAAGTTATATGCCCTTAACGAGGGCGAGAAAGCTACTATCAAAAGGCGATAAGAAAACAGTATTGCAAAGGTGAAATGATAAGAATGAGTTAAACAAAAGCACACAAATTCACCATAAAGCTTAGCAATCCAATTCAAGAAAAATAAAAATAAAACGATTAATGCGAAAAAACGATTTCATATTAAATACAAATTTGGGCAGAACAAATTTGTAAAGATTATTTCTTGTAATGTTTTCAAATGACGCTGCTTAAAGGAACTATAATTTTGGCCTGGCAAAATCGTGGAATTTTCTTATAATCTCTATAATTATTAAAAAAATATATATAAATACAACACAGTCGAAAAGAACATGTCCAAAAACATCGAAGGAAAAAAATGTTCCAATTTGCGTAGAAACGGATGGATAGACAAACATGGCTAGATGGACTCGGCTTTTAATGCTGATCCAGCATTTATATGTACACTTTTTGACTAAAATTATAATTTCTCTAAAACAGTGCCTAAAATACGGTACTGTAGTATACATTTTACAGCTTATTGTTGTGTTTTTTATGTTTAGCTTGTACGTTAAACCTTTTTAGGTATATAGTAAAAAGTAATTTACCCTTACTTGCAGGAAAAGATCAGCGTAAAAGACAGCAAGCTTTGCAGCAAATGCCTTTGCAATTTAGAAACCTATTTGTTGGATTGCAGTGAAAAGCTTCAGGATTTGCTGTCTGCAGAGGAGTGGGAAGTTTTGATCAACGGAGATGTAGTGTTCAAAACGATCAACTTAGAGCACAACAACATAACTAGTATTCCGATTCTACCGAAATATGATGTGGAAAACTTATACTTGGCAAACAACCAAATAGATTCAATCACTGAGGGCGCCTTTCAGAACCTTACCGAGCTAACCACACTTGATTTGTCGCATAACCGCATAACGTCGAAAGTTTTGGTGCCAGATGTTTTCAAGGGTCCCTACACAGAACACGATTTCTCAGCGCTGGAAAAATTGAAGACTCTTAACTTGGGATACAATGACCTGCATACTTTGGATGCAGACTTGTTTGAGCACATTCCCAACATAGAGGAACTCGTCCTCTGCTCAAATGCATTCCACGTAATTGATCGACTTTCAGAAACGGCCATATCCGGATTATCATCATTGAAGGTATACGAATTGGTGTTGCTACTTATTTCCAAAGAACCCTAATAGCCTATTTTGTTTTGATATTAAAGACTTTGGACGTTTCGTACATGGAAATCGACGACTTACCAGAGACTATTCTTCATGGACCACGAGATCTTGAAACCCTAATAGCAGCTGGAAATCTCTTTCACCAATTACCAAAGGCCTTAAGTCGAGCGACGAACCTAACCAGTCTTGTTCTGAATCAAAACCCCATTGATAGCCTGATTGAAGACAAGTTAGTAGGATTTGTACTTTAAATGTTGAATGTACCGTAACCAAATAAATTCCTTAGTGTATTTCCACCGCTGACCAAATTGACACACCTGAGTATGACCTTTATGACCAAGTTATACAAAATTGGACCAGGAGCATTTAGTGAGTTGCAAGGTATGTAACATCCATCACATATAAGATGGTAATTTTAACTTCTAATGGAAATCACTGACCAAAAAAGCCAACTTAACGATAATATCAAAAATCTATTATTAATTTCTGTAAATATTTTTTTTAGGTCTAACCGAATTGATTTTGTCCGACAACAAATTGCTAAACGAAATCGATGAGGAGGCTTTATCCAAAAACGTCACTCTAGGCCCATACTTGGACTATCCGCCATTGGAAAAAGTAACTAAACATCAAACACACAAAAAAGCATAAAATACAAAGTTTAATTTTCAGGTTTACTTGAATAATTGCAACCTTACGACTCTTCCAAAAAATCTTCTTGTGCGATGGGATAAACTCAAAGCTCTCGACCTTAGGTACAATCCGTGGAACTGCGACGACTCCAACGATTATTTGATCAACGTCTTAATAGAACAAGTTAACAAAACCACACCGATTTTGGCTAAAAATGTCCAGTGTGCAACGCCAACTACGTTGAAAGACGTTGAAGTAGTTAGAGTTGCAAATGAACATTTGATGGAAAGTTCTACTGGCAGCATTATATGGGTTGGACTCCTGGTTATTTTGCTAATCGCTGTGCCAACTATTGCAGGCGCCTATGTGATGAAAAGACGAAACTGCTTTGGCGTCTTTAGACGCAATGACAGCGTAGCTCGCAGTGCTCTCTATAATAGGACTAGTTTCAATGAAGACTTCCATATTTAAAATTTGTTTTGCACTAATGTTAAATTAAATGTTATAATTAAAAACAAAAACAACATGCATTAGTTGACTATCTTATCTATCCTACTATTTTTGAAACCAAACCTTCTTCAAAACTGTAAATAAATTTTATAAAAAAAAAACATTCTTAATTCCTCTTAGAAAAATAGAACGTAAGTAAATAAAACAGGCCTATGGTTGTTTATGAAAAATTTCAGGTTAAAGCTAAAATCTGAAACTCAACAAATATTTACATTTTAAAAGGCAGGAATTGATCCATTTTTATTAAAACCACTGTTTTGCAATGGGACTACCGTCCTTAGTAATCATAGTAAGAGACAATATTATGAGTCGCAACGCAGAACTTCTTGACACGCTAAGAAATTAACCCAACTCAGCTTGTTTTACACCCTAATGTTTATTTTACGGCTATTTTGCTTTAGTTTAGATACCAAGTTTTCTTGTTCATAAATTCTAAATTAAGTCAAACCAGAGTACTGAACGTTAATTTCGAACTAAGCCCGATTGAAAGCCATGGAAATAGGGGTGCTCCAAAATGTCCTTGGCAGAAATGCGATGAACCGGGTCATAGATTAACATACTTTGAATGAGATTAACGCCATTGGCATCGAGATTCTTCAACTGGTTGGTCAATTGGTTGGTGGACCAGCAGGGAAACGTGTTCTTGTAGTCGGGCAGCGAAGTGACCCCTGGCCAAATATCTTCGGTCGGCGTTTTGAGAATTCTGCCATCGGACAGAGCATTAATTTCATTTCGATCATGTAAGATATCAATTGTACTCACCTGAACATTCGGAACAACTGGTCGATTTCCGAGTCACCCTGAAACAGCGGCTTTCTCGTTGCCATTTCGGCAAATATACACCCAATGGACCAGATATCGACGGGACAGGAGTACCGGGGTGAGCCCAGTAACACCTCCGGGGCCCTGTACCACAAAGTCACGATCTCGTGGGTATAGATCCGTACTGGAATGCCGAAGGATCGCCCAAGACCAAAGTCTGCCACTTTTATAAGGCCATTCTTGTCGATCAGTAAGTTTTGGGGCTTCAGATCCCGGTGAAGAACTCGGCGACGATGGCAGAATAGAATGGCGCTGGTTATTTGGTACAAATAGCTTCGAACCAATTCACTCTCCATATGTTTATCAGCTGGCAGCGAATCCATGTATTTTTTTAGATCCATAGAAAGGAATTCAAAGATTAAGTATATGCGGTTCTCCTCCATTAGGACATCTTCCAAACACACAATGTTTTCATGCTTCAGCTCCTTGAGCAACGAAATTTCCCTATAATGATTATTTGGATAAAACGTTTTGTTATTTTTATATGGATCTAAACGATCTGAATTTTATACTTTATCCTAGAAATATTGCAATCATAAAAAACTTGTCATAGCATCAAACATAATACAACATCTGTATAGAAAGTACGACCTACATGTGTACAATGTACATATATGTACATTTCTACAAGACCATACATTAATACATATGTATGTATGATATACATATGTACGTATGTATAATTATGCTGCATTTTTATCGTAAAATGAACAGTATAAATATTAATTCATTCTAAACATGGTAAATAAGCAATGGTTGTTGCTTGATCCGCATTGTTTATTCTGTTTATAGCTGTTCAAAATACTATTTTATAAAAAGGAAATAGTGAGGCATCGGCATCCAAGCCGGGGCATTTTACCTGATCGCGGTCGATGGAACGCCTTCATCGTCCGACTCCAAGCGAATTTTCTTCATCGCCACTATTTGGCCCGTTAGGCGGTTGCGTCCTTTATACACCACTCCATATGTGCCCTCGCCAATCTTCTCAATTTTTTCAAAATCCTCCATGATTTGTAAAACTATTTGCAAGCCACCGAGTTTTAAATTAGCGCGTTTTTGACGTCTATGCCTAAGTATTACCAGACTGCTCAAAGTGAAACACAAGTAGCCAAGCTAACACCGTTTACGTTTCAATTGGAACGTGGTATTGCAACCTAAAATTAAGACCATAAACATATGTGATTTTATTATAATAAAATATATCTTATATTTATTTTAAATATTTGTAAAATAAATGTCATAATACTTTCTACATTTCAATTGTTTCAATTTCAGTTATTGATCATACATGAATAATGTACTGCTTAAAGAAGCAATATTTTGCAGCCAAAAAAATTAAAAGAAACCAAAATGGCTGAACAGTAGCAAAATTTAAAAGAGCTTTTTAATAAATTCGATCAAATTACAAATGCAAATAATTTCCACAAATACCAAAACTGAATCGTTTCACTGTTCCATTTTATTTGTTCTCAAAGTGTATAGAAATATGACAATATCTTGACTTACTTGCATGCTTGCCCCAAATGTGCATAGCATATATTAAACAAGAATAATATTTTTCACCGACATAACAGAAAATGTCAACATGTCTTTTTTAAGTAGAATTGCAGAGAAAGCTTCGAAGCTCAGGTAAGTGCTTATGTCTGTATAAATGAAAATTTCCAATCCATCGTTTTATTATTTCAGTGGTCTTCGGTTGATGTCGGTGTATCCAACACATTACGTCGAACCTATTGTACAAAAAGATAAACAACTTGAGCAAAAGAGTGATTTATCAAAGCTCTTTCATGTCCCAATTAAGGCAGCAGTCAACAAAGCTTCTGATACAGTCTTCCATGATGATACGAAAGAAAAAATGATAAATTATATAACGAAAAAGGGGAATAGTGCCCTGGCTAGATCACTTCTGTCAAAGACGCTAGAGTTAATAAAACGCACGCAGACGGAGCACATGAATCTGGCCAAAGGAGACAAAGACGCCATCAACACCAATGCCGAAACGCTCTTGAAACAAGCTGTGGAGAACTGTCGACCGCTGCTTCAAGTTACCGCCATTAAACGCGGTGGAGTTACTTACCAAGTTCCCGTTCCCATCACGACAAAACGATCATATTTTCTGGCCATGAAGTGGCTCTTGGAGGCTGCCCGGGAAAAGGAGCGCAAAGTGTCTCTCCCGGAAAAACTGGCCTGGGAGATTCTGGACGCAGCACACGGACAAGGAAGAGTGGTCAAGCGTAAGGACGATTTGCACAGGCAGTGCGAAAGCAACCGCGCCTACGCACATTATAGATGGAGCTAAATTTACAATTCACTGTTTTTTATAATGCAATAAAGTTTTCAAATTTGTGTTAGATATGTGAGAGCCTGATGACATCTGTGTGTTAAGATATGCGTATAAATAGAAAGGGTTTGTTTTAGTAAGAATATTGATTTCTACTATAAATTAATACTTTGATATGAATATTATTGCTATTCAATTTTAGTTTCAACCAAATGTGGCACAGTGTCATTTATCGCTCCTATAAGCAAAGCATTTCTTGCAATAGATAAATCTTCATTTAGACGAACACTGCAGACCCTACTTAAATAACCAAACAGAAACCCACTTTACCCCATTTACCAGTTTACTAAGCCCACTTAACAACACCTGCACCACACCTTACTTTTGCTTTAAAACCTTTTTAAATTAAAATGCCTAAATGATTCCCCGAACTAGCTATGTACATATTTTGATTAAGAATCGCATATGTACATCCGATGATCCGTTCTGATATTCGAGATGTATAACGTAAGCTGTTTGTAAAGCAAAGGATGATTTCCACAGTTTTTCGCTACTAAAATTTTGGTCCTGTAGCTCTAGATTTGTCGAAAATTGCAAAGCAAAGTAAACAAGGTGATGCCAATTTGCAGATGGGGCTCATAATAACTTATGAAATAAAGATATTAAGGTACAATAAAAGGCGGGAGGTTCTGCGTTTTAAACGAAATCAGATCCAATCATATGATCGGTTTGGTAAAAAAAATGTATTTCACCCAGCCAGATGTTCTTTGGGGCTAACTATCTGGGGTTAAAAGAATTCCCCACATAATACACGTGCAAATTTTTAAAAACTGTTTCTTGGTGGTATGAATTTTGAAGAATTTGATTCGAATCTTTAGATCTTGTGGTTGAGGCTGTGAGAAAATGACGGAAATGGAACTCCATTCCTTTATGAAATTGGAATATGGAACAAATAAAATTAAGCAAAACCTGTTGCTATTTGTTACATTTCCGAAACCTAATTTATGTATGTTGAACTCTTTTTCCATACTTAAGTTCTGTTCAAAAATAATGGAAAAGTTGAGGTGGATTTAACATACTTACTAAATATTAGTTAGTATATTTGCGTTCCTTTTTAATATAATTTTTAGAGTTTTTAAAACAGCTCATCATGTTCTTAAAAGTTTTGAATTTTTTTTTTCACTTTGTTGACAATTTCAAAAGGATTGAATAGATAATCTGCTAAGGACCGATTTCTCGAGCTCCGGCTAACATATTTCAGACAGATAAAGTCTCTGCTAAGAAAGTTTGGGTTTCTCGGGCGTTAGTGTGAGAGTTAATCTGACAGCGACTCAGACTCCCTGCTAAGGTATTTGCGGTTCGACTAAATTACAGCTTCACAAAATGTACTAAGATAAAATCTCAAACATAAATAGCTTGTGTTATCATTAAAGCAAGTCCTGTGTTGGCGCTTTACAGCTCAGTTTCATTATTATACTAGTTGAATGAGATATCATTTCATGATACTTATTTATGTTTTCTTTTCAGCAGCAAATTCTATGACCAAAGTCTCTTAAAATATGTTTTTCTCCCTGAAATAAATATAGTATTAACATTCTTATTTAAATAATGGGATGGCGCACACTTGTACACTATTATTAAATAAAAAAGCACCAATCCGAAAAATCTACGCTAAAAGTTTTAAGTTTGTATTTAGTTTTAATATACAAAGTATTCTTCCAGAGCAATAGCTACTTGGCTTGTGTGTATATTTCCATGTTTTGCGAGCAGAACAAGAAATTGTTGTAAGTATTCTTAGTACCTATTTTAAAAACGCGTGTGGGGGGAGCACTGCCTATAGCCCCAAAGTAGCTACGGCCCTGTGTTCTTAAAACTTTATACGAAAATAATAAAAAAAATTTAATTTTTAGCGGGAAATGCGTTTATAGTGTAAACGGTACGTTGCAGTTTTATGGATTTGTGTGGCAGCCCATCTATCGAAATGCCTATCGATTCTTATCGAATCGCAACGCTACAGATGACGCACGAAGAGAACAAAGATGGCGATCCCGAGCACACGAAAATTAAAACGAGCTGAATGATAAATAAAGAATTTTGTACTTATAGTTGAAATTCGCATGAGCGCAGTGAAATAAATGAATTAATAAAAGTGTACTGCATATTTACAATGTGTAAGAGAAAAGTTTATCACGAAACGGTTTATTTTAGCTGTGCATTTTAACAAAATCCCAAAACACATAATCTTACTAGTTGAAGTTGACTGGACGACATAAAAAAAAATTGGGTAAATTTACCAAGCGCTGTACAATACATAAGGATTCTCGGTGTTAATCCAAAAAAGATATGTATATGTAATACATAGGCTGGTGGCTCAACGTCAACACTCGCTGCAACAAAAGGAATTGCATACATAGAATTAACAGTGGATATTAGGGTGAGTACTTTTCACGAAATGTATTTTAATCAGGTTCAGGGTATGTTTTACAGCCTTTTGCCTGCACTTTTTGTGGTGCGGATAGACCTGCTTACGTTTATTTGTTGAATGTGTGTATATACCAGTGGATATACATCGTTATGTACGAGTTAATTCCACTTAAATGTATGTGGATACCATTTTCATGATTCTGCATACATACACATGTATGTATGTATATGTCCGAATGCTCGTAAACAAAGTAACTTCTTATGTACAAGCGAGTAAATAGGTGCTAAGCGTAAGAATTAACTTTATTTTTCGAGTGCTTGTTGATTCGCTTGCGAAGTAATTTTATTTTTAATTTTCCCGCAACCGATTCACGGTTTTAATATAGCATGTACGTGTATATTTCATGTAAGTACCATGTACATGTGTTCATGGAAAAATGTTGTGAATCAGGTGTAGAAAAATTATAAGAATCTGTTAATGTGTATGTTTTTTAAAGCATTTTTTGTGATCTTTATTTGTCTTTTTTGTTCGGTGGTAGCTACAGCTTATTGTGATTAACATGTATTTTGTTATCATAGATCGCGCAACTTGTAAATACACATTTTAACCAAGTTATTATTGTAATGAGTAGGTTTCTTAGCTCTAAAAATTAGAAGTTTATGTCCAAAACATGTAATGGAAAGGTCAGGTGCAATTTATGTTTTCTAAAACAAATGAGGTAAATATTTAACTTTTTTACTTGAAATAAGTGAATTGTTTATTTAATAATATATCCTATTTGTTTTGATAATATATCTTATTTATGTACATATGTGCAGTTTGTACCATATTTGCCACGCCCTCTTTTTGGTCTTTACTCGAATTTACCTTGTGTTTCTTAAAAAAATGTAGAATCAATTCCTAGAAGTAGTATTGTTATTTTATACCTTTTCTAAATGTAACTTACTTTAGTAAAAAAAAACGAGGCTGAGTTAGGCAAACAATAGAAATTTGGATCAGTTTAAGCAAATAATTTAAAATATTTGATTCACGGCTTTACTTTTCCCGCTGAACACTTATTCCAGCGCTAAAACATTTAGGTCATTTTCATATTAAGGTAGGATGTTATCATGGTAGGCAAATATGCACTAGCTAAACATACAAGTTAAAAAATTAATGAACACTATTTTCTTACTGATTGCACATTACCTGTTGCATTACATTACTTTTTTATAGGTATACATTTTAAAACTTCCAAAAGCAAAAATGTCAACGCGCTTTCCTTTTTATGTTATTGTAATAATAAAATACCTTTATGAAACATGAACGGATAATTAGTTTATTAAAACCTGGGAATAATAACAAGTACATTTAGGATTAATTCTCACGGTTAATCTTTTGGTTAAAAGGACATATCTTATAGTGAAATTTCTTATATTTTATATGTTTGCGCACCTTAGATTTATGGGAAATATAAACCCACAATAGACAGATAAATAAAAGATGATTGATGGCTGTAGTTTATTTATAGGTCTACGCATAGGGTATTATAGTTTTAGACAAAAGTTGGCAATTCTTCGGTGTAAACTACGTAAGCACATCATTCCGAGTCTCAACCAAAGATATTTTAAAGTCGCCGCTTTTATGTTTCAAAACTCGACGATTTCACTTTAAACAGAAAAAAACATGTTAGATCGAACACTACCACTTAATATTTTCTTTAACCTAAATGGATATATTGAGATAGGTCTTAAATTGCAAAAACAATTGCCTATTTTGTATACAATTATCTCGTAGAGAGTATCCATTGGAAAGTATGTAACAAGCAGAAGATTCTTTATCAGGATCACTAGCCGAGTCGATCTAGTCATTTGCGTATGAAAGCTGAGACCTTGGAAACTATAAAAGGTAAATAATTAGGATTGAGCTTATGGAATCTATGCATTCCTACGCAATGCAATTTTGTTTCAGTCAAGAACCACGCCCACTTCAACTCCCTTAAACGTCCATAACTCTTTACTCTGTCTTGCGCAAATATTTTTAAAGATTTTCTAAATCTGTAAATGCAATATTGTTTCGCTTATCAACATCCTTCTACAAATGTATCAAGTCTGACCATTTTAAAAGTTATAAGCAATTAAAGTTTTCCCGGCTAAGGTGGATCCAGTTCGTGAAATTGAAAACCGCTCATTTGAACTAAACTGGCATTGTTTCTTAGCTTCGACCGATCTCTTTACTTTATACACTAAGGATTTAAGTAGACAAGGCAGCATAAACTTATGATACCCTGTTGTTTTGCAGATCTATTGCTGAAATGGCGACCAGTGACGACGAGCCGATGCACTTGTATGAGGTGTTCCAGAACTGCTTCAACAAGATAGCCAACAAGCAGCCCACGGGGACGGTTGGAGCGGATCGCGGCGGTGGCGGTGGCTACCACTCGCCGTACGGTAGCCTGGGCGTGGAGAACGGGATGTACCCCAGTGACTTCAACTCGATGCATGATGCCGCCAACGGCGGGAACAACCGATATGCCAACGCCTCGACCGTCGATCAGTATTTTGATTCAGCCGCCGCCGGCAGCGGAGGGGCGTGGTGCCAGTCGCAGATGGGCAGCGCCAATAGTTACATGGGTCAGGCGGCGTACCAGAACAGCGGACCGCTCTCGGGGCACTCCATGGACCAG